TTTTTTTTTTTTTTTTTTTTTTTTTTCTTGCGGTATGCGGGCCTCTCACTGTTGTGGCCCTTCCCATTTGCGGAGCACAGGCTCCGGACGCGCAGGCTCAGCGGCCATGGCTCACGGGCCCAGCCGCTCCGCGGCATGTGGGATCTTCCCAGACCGGGGCACGAACCCGTGTCCCCTGCATCGGCAGGCGGACTCTCAACCACTGCGCCACCAGGGAAGCCCAGATATATTTTTTGATGCAAGAAAAGGACATTGAATCGGTTAATATTGAACAGATTTGGAATTTCTGTGACAAGTTCATCATTAGGGAAAAAGGATATCTGCAGAGAGTCTAAGAAGAATGGTGGACGATTTGGAAGAGTGCTACTAGAAAATGAGGAGAACCGCATCTAAGTGGGCCGGCATGTAAAAGAATGTCGAGCAGAGCTAAGGGCTTAGCAGGAGTTGGAGATCATTAATTTGTCCTGGCATAAAACTGAGTAGCTGTGGGATTTTTTCTGTTGCAGTGCTCAGCAAATCAGATACAGGAGCATGGCTAAATTCATTTAACGCTGTGTGTATGTTGGATGTGGGGTTGCAGGAGGTAGTACAAGTCAAGGAAGAGAAAAATTATTTTGGCAGAAATGGACAAGGAGGTTCTAAAGGAGGTATGGGATTTTTATTCAGGCCTCAAAATGCAGGCAGAAGTCTGTTGCGGGGAGAAGGAATACCAAGAAAAAGCATGGCAAAGGAGACGGGATCAGAGGTGGGAATGAACAAGACCTATTGGAGACACAGTAAACCTATTTGGCTGAGTGGGAGGGTTAACCTAAGGCAGTAATGGAAGGAGGATGTTGAAAGGGCACATCTGATAAAGATCGGATAAAGTGCAAATTCTTTCGTCTTGAATTCCAAGCCGTATCTTCCAGGCAATGAGGATCTGTTGAAGGTTACTGTGCAGGAGAGTGATTTAAGATTAATGTGGTGCCAGTGTGCGGTAAGGATGGGAAGGAGAGTGGCTGCAGGCAGGAAAGCCGGTTTAGGAGGCTGGGAAAGGAATCTAACATTTGGGAAACAATGCGTGGAAAAAAGGGGACTAAGAGACAACAGACAGAAAGTCATTATCTTTTGTGGTCCCAGCTCTTTTCACGCTCTTTGCTCTCATTCGTGAATACTTGTGTATGTGTTTATCTTACCCCAGTGGCTCCTTCCCTTCCCTTCCTTCCCCTTCCTTCCTTCTATCCTTCCCTCCTTCAACAAATACTTATTGAGTATTTACTGCTTACATACTGGACATTGTACAAGGCACTGAAGATTCCAAGAAGGAAATTTCATTCTCCTGGGGAAAGCAAACAAGTAAGGGTATCAAGTGGAATTTAATAGGAGACCAAGTAGAAGTGTGTGTGCCAGGTTTTAGGGGCACCCAGAGTAGAGGCCCCTAATCTATTATGGCAGAGAAGGTGCTATTTGAACCTGCCTGGAAAAATCACAAGGAAGTCACCAGGGGAGCAGGTAGAGAAAGGAGCAAAGGTGCAGCAGGAAAGAGGGCCTTGGGCCTCAGGGGCGGCTGGTGGCTTGGTGAGCCTGCATCATAGTGTGTATATGTAGGAGTAAAGGGCCGTGAGGTTCGAGAAGTTACCAGAGCCTTGTGTGTCCTGATAAAGACAGCAGGTTCTATTCCAAACATGTTGGAGATCCCTGAAGGATTTTACACAGAAGAATATTAGCCTTTTTTTAGAGTCATTGAAACACAGGAGTTAAAATCTCAGACTCTGGAGTCAGATTGAGACCAGGGTGTTACTCATGGTTCAGCCACATGGGGGCTGTGTGGCCTTGGGCAAGTTACTTAACCTCTCTGCTTCAGTTTCTTCTTCACTAAAATTAAAAAAAATACTACCTGCCTCACAGGTATTGTTGTTTTTTATTTTCTGAGAGTTAAATGATGTATCATTTGTAACATTCTTAGCACAGTGCCTGGCACATAGAAAGCCCTCAAAACTGATAGCTACGTTTACTAGTACTCATATCACCTCTGGCATTGTTACTATTATAAAAACTGCTCTGGGAGTGGTGTGCAAGATGAGTCAGAAATACGAGATAAGCTGGAGGAAAGGGGATTAGATACGAGCCCTCTGGAATAATCTAGGGAAGAATATTTGTTTTGTTCAACACCCAGCTGTCATTCAGAAGGAATAAAAAAAAAATGTAGAATAAATGGAAAGACAGACAAGTGGAATTTAGTGATTGATTAGCTCAAAGAAACCAGGGA